TTTTTTTTTATTTTTTTAATTGCTTAGCATTTTTTTCTTCTAATAATTCGTTGTTTGATATAACCGTTCACTAAAAAAATTAGAATAAAATAAAATTTAATAATCAAAAAAGATTTTAAGTATTATTTTAATTATAAATATCCATTTTATAATGATTATTTTTATATTTACAAAATATTTAATGACTAAAGTACTTTAAACACTTGCCAGATTTAATTCTAAGGTTAAAGAAGTTTGTATTATAAATATACGGTCCTTAATTGGATTGTGATAAAATCAGAGGGTTTAATAAATGACCGAATGAATTTTTTTACTGGGTAAAGGGCTTCTGATGGATCCAATAGTTGACCGGTCTTAAAATAATATTAAAACTTATAATTTAACTTTATTTTTTCAAAAAAGTTGGAATTTGATCTGTAATTAACATAATAAAACTAAAATATTTTATATTATGCCGATAAATATCACTAAATTAATGATGAAATGCACTGACTCTCCAATAATTGTACGCTAGTTATTTTTGACCGCTTTATGGCTGGTTGCGTTGTAAACAAACTCAGAATATTTTTTTAAAGCTATAATCACTGCGCAATTAATTGCGTAATTTTTTATTATGATGATTAAATGCCATATTGTTTTATTTTAATACTTTAGGAAAAAAAAAACCCTTGTAAAATATTAATTAATTAATTTTTTTATACATCGGTCAACTAATTGGTGACCGGTCAACAACTGGTGCATTTACCCTATTTCCTTTTGAAATATTTTATTTAAAAAAATATATTTTTAATAGCTAAATTTTTGCCAATTTTCATATATCAACGTTCTAATTAGCAAATTGTCTAACTCCATTTGAAAGAATCTTCAATTAGTACAAATAAAAAAAAAAACAATTAGTTCAAAATTTATTATCACTTTAAAATTCTATTCCTACATTAAAAAGTTAAAAAATCACCCTCTAAAAAATAAGGAGTAAGACCAATTACTAATTAATTATAATAATAATATAAATTTAATATATTATTAGTTATTAAAAGAATATATTTTTCTAAAAACCTTTTTATTAAAAATATTATTTTTTAAAAGTGTTTAGATTGCAGTAGACCTTGGCTCTGTTACTGGTCACTACACGCGTTAAATTTACTAGGTGAACAATTAAATGAAGAAGACAATATAAAAGTTATTGATTTTTTATCTAAATGCCAAGACCCATTGGGAGGTTTTGGTGGTGGTCCTGGTCAGTTTCCACATTTGGCTTCTACTTACGCTGCGGTTTGTGCACTGTGTACTATTAAATCCAAAAAAGCCTATGATGCAATCGACAGGTATGCTTAATTTAAATAAAAAAATTTTATTTAATTTAAAAAAAAATAAATAAGATAAAAAAATTAGTTAATAAAAAAATCAAATAAAACTATTTAATCAAAAATTTTATAGAAAATCATTGGTGCGTTTCTTCCGTTCGTTGAAATTTAAAGACGGAAGTTTTTCAATGCACAGAGACGGCGAGCTGGACATAAGAGGTGTTTACTGTGCGATTGCAGTAGCTAAATTGACAAATGTCTACTCAGAAGAGCTATTTAAGGGCACAGATGACTGGATTTCCAGGTGTCAGACCTGGGAAGGTGGCTTTGGAGGTTGTCCAGGTATGGAAGCTCATGGGGGATACACTTACTGTGGACTTGCGTCGTTAGTTTTGATGGGGAAGGTTGATAAGTGTGATTTGTCCGCGTTGTTGGTAAGAAAAATGTCTATTTTGTTTTTTAGACGGTCAAAATATTAAATTATATCTAAGTTGGTTTATCGCGAAATTCTAATCTATTTGTATCTACTACGAATATTATATATTATGTATATGTATATATGAAAAATATATCAAAAATGCAAGTGGGTACTCAAATGAAAGCTCTTGATGAGTGTAACATCGGGATGAGCTTATATTTTAAATAATGTCAATAATTAAAAAATGATCTTGTATCTTGTGAACTATTGACATTTTTAAAGAGATAAGCTCATCTTGATGTTACACTCATCGAGACCTTTCATTTGAGTACCCACATCAATTTTTCATATATTTATATATTTTATATATATTATATATGTATATATGAAAAATATATCAAAAATGCATGTGGGTACTCAAATGAAAGCTCTTGATAAGTGTAACATCAGGATGAGCTTATATTTTAAATAATGTCAATAATTAAAAATGATCTTGTATCTTGTGAACAATTGACATTTTTAAAGAGATAAGCTCATCTTGATGTTACACTCATCGAGACCTTTCATTTGAATACCCACATCAATTTTTCATATATTTATATAAATTATATATATGTA